TTAATTACAGATTCACTTTGGCATCTTCACATGTTCATACTTCCCAAACCATGATCCAGAAACCATAATTAAAATGAACTACATTCTTCAGTGAGCGAGAGTGATTATTATGTTGCAAAAATGTGGAGAGAAGAAAAGCTATCTTTCCTTAATTCCTTTCATGGAATCTCTCGATATGTAGGCGTTTTCTTACATAAAAATAAATAAATAAATAAAAGAAGAAATTAGAATCCAAATCAATTGAACTTGAAAATGCGTACAAGAAAATGTTGGGATGGTGGTCATGTTCACGTGAAGTCAAGCTAATTGTGTAGCAGCTGAATAGTGAACACATATCATTCATATTCACCATTGTACTCTCTTATTTCTATCCGATATATCTGTATTATAATGTTTGAGATCAGACTGAATCAAACCATCGGACCATTCAATCTGTCACTTAAGGTCTCCTAACTTATTTATTCATATTTTTCATATAAATAAGATGATGATTATTTTAACCATAAAAATCTATTATTAAAATGGATATTTTTATCTCATTTAAGTATTGATAAGTTATTTATCTACTTGGGAAAAGGGTATAAATTTTTTTTGATCCTCATGTAAATCTGAAAAAAAAAAAAAAGAAACATTGGATTCTTGTTCTGACAAACTTTTCCCCCTCTCAAAATCCAAAACACGAGTGGTTGAATCAAAGAAATGTCCTTTTACCCCAATTCAAGAATCAAAATATATATGGAATTAATCAAGCATATCGTATCCATACCATTGGATATGGAGGTACATGGTTGGGAGGTTTTGAAAGCTTGGAATGATGAAAGTCATCCCTTTCATGCTAATAAAATAAAGGGAAATTATGGTTTAAATCCTCTTATAAATTTTTATTGGTTTTTTTTTTTAATATATTATCCCAAACCCCACCTATGCTATAATACTCCCCTCTTTGTATCCCGATGGGTTCTCTCATTTGTTATAGGGTGAAAGAATCAATAAAAATCCTAAAATAAAATAAATAAATAAAAACGAAAAGAAAGAGCATCAGTCTTGTTGATACACATTAATACCTAATTGTAGTTATCAGGCATATCAATATTTTGATCAAATACATTATGATGCTTTGAACCTTCTATAAATCCCCCCAATATTCTGATCTGAGGGTTCATATGATGTTGTTTTCTTCACCATTGAACCTGTTCCACCTGTATAATCAAACTGCAGAGTGGGGGCCTATTACCTGGAAGAGAACCAAATTGCTTTCTAAATCGGTTTTTAAAACACAACCATATATGTGCATATATACAACCTGCTCCAAGTCCTCTACTGACTAAATGATGTCATGCCAATTCATTCAGTTGGTAGAGAATAAGAAAATTACGGGTAATAGTGAGTTTCTATTATGATATCATTGGGCTAGTGGAGAATCCTCTCATCACTCGGTTGAGGATAGGGAGCCCCCTCTAGGGTAACTGAACCGTATATTTAAAACTGAAGCAATTCTTCATTTTTTGAGAAATATCAAATTGAAACCAAACTGCTACATCAACCAATTAATCGGTTGAACCATTCAATTTTTCGATTATATATATATATATATATATATATATATATATATATATATATATATATCAAATTGAAACCAAACTGCTACATCAACCAATTAATCGGTTGAACCATTCAATTTTTCGATATTTAATTGGTTGCCCTGCCAAGTTCTATATTTATTCCTTTGTTTTATATGTTTGTTGGCCTGTCCCTTTTCTCTCTCTCTCGTCGTGTTTTATATTAACTTTTTTCTTCCGTACACACACATATTAACGCTTTATGTTAACTTTTTCAATTTGCAATAAAGAGCAAAGACAATAGAGAAAAACAGTTCAAAAAATGTGGTACCAATACCTAATCAAATTGACTGCAGCTTGCAAGGCAACAGATAGGAAAAGTTGGTGAGTTGGTAGATGGTGGCATCAACACAACGAGAGAACCCTCAACATCAACTCAATGTCGGAATTCGGAAAGAGCATCACAAGTGGCGATCATTGTTAGGCATGGAATTAAGCATTGAGCCCACATATTGTGAACTGGGGGTGCAAATGGATCCTATCGGCTTCGAATCAGCGTATATTCGAACCGACACCGTTAAGAGCCGATCCGATCAGATTTTATAAGTATGAATTTGATAAAGAAGTCGGATTTTTGGATCTGATCGGATTTCATTTAAATTTTTTAAAAAATAATAAATTATTAAAAAAAATTAAAATATAGTAATTAAAAAAAAGAAAAACAAAAAATATAAGTATCTTTTCAATTATTTTCATTATATATATACATATTTTTATAAAAATAATTAATATAACAAATTTATAAAATGTAACATAAATAATATATTTATAAATGAATAAATAACATATATATGTTATATATATTTATATAAATAAATAAATAATATATATAGGATCATATTTTCTCAAAGCGGATAGGGGTGATTCAAATTTGATCCAATTTTCTGATCAGATCCTGTTTTCTGATCCGACCCAAATAGGGGGAGGGGGGATCTGAATACGACAAAATATGATTGGATCTCATAATGGATCGGATCCAATCAAAATCCAATCCATTTGCGCCCCCTTTTGTGAACATTTGAGGTTACTATCTATTTATATCCAATTATTCCAACTCATTAGAGCAAGGCATTAAAAACGAGACTGGATTTGGAACCATTTTAAAAACGAGACCAGCTCCCGGGTCAAATGATTTGATCTTCTGGTTTGAACGGATAGTCTATTCTGATTTTAAAAAATATAAATTAAAAAATAATTAGAATAAAAAAAGGCAAAAAATTCTTTATCCGGGTTAATGGATCGATGACTCGACCACCCGGGTCAATGGAACCGGTTGCTTGACCTGTTTCTTGGTCAACTGGTATGACCGGACCAATGCATTAGAACAATAATACAAGTATCAATTTTGGAAATTTGATTTCAGCGATTTTTTTTTTTTGGCTCAGTTTGGAAGGAGTACAAATATTTATTTAGTATTATTTTGTATGTATTCCAAACTGATACTTTTAAGTTTTGATAAAACTTTGCACCTTCTCTTAATTAAGGTTTTCTTCGTTGTTTTTTCCTTAGATAGGCAACCTTTAATTAAGATTTAATACATAATAAGAGGGATAAAAATACGACGAAGCTCCTGATTAAGTAAATTAAAACATGTACTTTACAGGATTATCTTTGTCTCTGGTGTTGGGGGCTTTCTTGTCGTCTGTAGTTGTCGATGATTAATCCCACGCTGGAATTAATAAATAATTAACGTAAGACGGGAAGCGCGTAAAACCTAGTAATCAATAATCGATGAAGCTGCTGCACACGTGACAGGTGACACGCTAGGTAAAAAAGATTCCCTTGGCGTAATTGCGTTCACACTAGCTTTATGAAAACAGATTCCATTTTGAACCCCGTTCACACTATCATTCACCACACGCTTTCTATGTTTACAGCTTTAAGAAAGCCAAACACGGCTCCGCTCATTTCTCCTCTTGGCTCGACTTGGGTTCACGACTTCACGGATGTCCAGATATTTAAATATTTTCTACCGCTTTCGGCTTTACCGTTTTTAGCAGAATGGGATCTCTGTAGTACTTCGGGCGCAGGATGTAAGGAAGGTTGCCATGCTCTTGATGAATATATGCTGGATCCATAGTTCCATACAGAAACTGGGACCTTCCGTATCGTTGATCTACCTAATAGATGTACTATCTTGAACTCTCATTCTGAAATAACTAAAAAATGAACGGTGATGATGGAGATAGGGTTTCTGGCATATTGATTATAGGGTATGATGAATTATATGCATTCGTGGAGATCTTATGATCTTATAATTCTAACGATGATGTGGATGGCCAACATGTAAGGGTTCGTTTGGTTTATAGCCAAAATTGGAATCTTTTAAAATTGGAATTAGAATGGTCTATTTGGTTCAGTTTATAATTGGAATCAGATTTTTATTCTCAGGAGAGGGGGAGGGAATGGCCATTCTCTTATATGGGAAATATCATTTCACTAGAAATAAGAATGGTATTTAGATTCCACCCAATGAAACATTTGAAATTCCAAACCCTATTCCCACACAGACCTTAAGATTCGTTGAGGGTGGACAACATTGGATTAGTGTTTTAAAAACCAACCTGGAGGCTGAACCATTTTTGCCTCCAGGTCACAGGTCATTGATTCGTCTGTGTGTGTAGGTATGCATAAACATGTATTTTATCATCAAATAATGTATAATTATGTTTCACATGAAATATATGAAATATTTTATATTTAAATTATGTATTTTAATTCAGTTTTAAATTTTTTATTTGTAAAAATATTTGGGAAAAAAATAATGCATTAGGACACAGATATTAAAAATTTATCAAAAATAATCACCTTAATTAGGCATCAGAGTGCAAAATTATAGCCTCCTAAATTTTGCATGCACAGTTAATATGCAACCTTCGACCCGGTCACTAGGTCGAATAGATCAACAATACAATCGTCCAGGTCAAATGGATTTTGACCAAGTCAATGATTTTTTAACCTTCTCCGGATTTTATTCAAGTCGGACGTAAATTCTTAACCGAGTGACAGTTAAAACGGTTTAACTGATCGGATCAACGGCGGGTTAAAAACACTACATTGGATAATGCGTATGAGATTGAAGCCGAAGCCGAGGGGCGAAGAGTCCACCGATAGCACCGGCTTCAGCTGAGCGGATGATGAGGTCAACAGCATCAAATGGCACATGCCAGGTAAGATAGGATGGCTATTTCTCATCTGACGTGGCACCGGATTAGCGGGTGTTTGGTCTTATTGTTGACGCCGTCACTTCTTGTGGTCTGTACATCTCTCTCTAGAGTCTTGTCTCAGTCTCCCACCCACCAATAATTTCCAAGAAGAAGCTAGCTATCGTCTATATATTATCTACATCTATAAATAAGGCCACCTTCTACAATTCTCAAATCTTGCTCTTCATATACAAAAACCAGCTGCACAGAAACAATCAGATCAAGACTTAGAAGGAGGAGACAAAGATGGGAAACTGTATGAGGCATGAATCGTCGATGACGTGGGCCGGCGAGGATTGGGGCTCTCCGGCGTCCGACGGAATGTTTGTAAATGATTCTCCATATGGAGTCTTATCTGACAAATCGAGGAGGACGTCGGACACGGAGAAGGAGAGTCTATTGGGAGAAAAGATAGGCAACGTTAATACTTCCACGGAGGTAAAGATCAAGATCAGCAAGAAACAATTGGAAGAATTGCTTGGGAGAGTGGATGTACGGGGGCTGTCGGTAGAGCAAATCTTAGGTCTGTTACAGAAAGTTAGCGATCACTATCAAACAACGACACAGCATCGGAGTTGGAGACCTGCCCTACAAAGTATTCCGGAGTCCGTGACTGAGCAAAATTGAGTTGCATTCCAAAATTCAAAGGAGATGATTGACGACGATAACCGGAGGAAATGATAATAAACTCACATCTCTCAGTTTCCTTAGTGTTATACAATTGACATTAGGTGTTGGAAGGCTTTTGTAATTTCTGCAGCTCATTGTACATACAGGTAGAGAAATTGGATATTACCCTGTAAAGATTTTATACATAAAAAAAATATATATATATATATCTCTTATATTCAACTCTCTCTCTCTCTCTCTGGTTTCATTTTGTTTTTTCATTTCTACTTCTGTTTTACATATCTCGGCGAGAGTTCTGGCCGGTCCCAATCGGCCAGCAAGGCTGCAACTGCAGGACATACATGACCAAGTATGCCGTCAAACATCAGTAGCATTTTCTTGCGACAGCCAATAAAACACAGGTGGTGTTTGGCATGTATTTTTTATTCGATCTTTTGGTTTGCCAAAAGATCAAAAGATCAAAAATGGTCTTTGATGAATCGATTTTTGGTTGATGGCCAACTTTTTAGGCTAAGTACCTCATCATTTGGTCTGCTTCCAAGTGGCCGATGATTCAGGCCAAAGTGGAGAACTTTGGCTGTCTAACTACCTGTGAGGTGCCAAGCTTCCTAGGTGCCGAGCTGCCTGTGAGGTGCTAGGTTGACCAGGTGGCGAGCTGCTTGTGAGGCGCCAGGCTGACCAGGTGCTAAGCTGCCTGGTGGCGAGCTGAATTGATGAGCTTCGTTGCTCTTTAGAGATTTGCAAGGAACCAAATGTCAGAGGACCTGGGGTGGTTAACCCGGCGAGGTCGCTCCGATGCTTAAGTCAGTACTCTCGTAGTAGACTGCAAGCTAAAAATCACAAAGTATGAGAGATAGAATTTTCTTACTTGTTTGCCCCCCTTGCTTCTGGGGTTGGTGCCTTTATATAGGCATTGTTTGGCATGGGCTTCACGCACCATATCCAAGATTTCTACGAGGTCGTCTAAGTGGTTCGAGATTCCTAGAGATAACCGCCATGCATGCTGACCACCCTCCAGATCGTTCGGCACGTGGGCCAACTTCCAAAGATCGTGGGAGTGTTAGGATATGCATGCCGAATTAGTCAGCGAGCACGTCTTGCAAGTTGGCAGGTCGGTGCCTGGGCCAGGTTGCCAGCTCGTGCCTGTGCCAGGTCGCTCCCGTGCTAGACCGCCAGGCCGCCAGGTCGTGCCTATGCTAGGCTACCAGGTCGCGCCTGCGTCAGGCTGCCAGGTGGGACACCATTAATTTGGCTAAGGCAAGTTGTTGCCAAAGTGATTCCGAGTATCACCTATTTGTTCGGAGGTGCCATGTGTCATAATATCATTAGAGGGCAAAATCTGCCCTCATCTGTCTTTTTTATGTTTTGTATCGTATAGGGCAAAATACTCGAAGGAGTGCACAGAAAGACCAAAAATTGAGAACTTTTAAATGAAGCTTTTTGGTCTTTCTACACTAAAAATAGCCTTCTTCTCGATTGTTTTTAACAGCCCAATAGGTGCGCTTTCTTGTCTACTGGGTGGTTGAAAGATCCACATAGAAAGACTTGTCAAACAGTCCCATATTTAACACTGAATGATCTGGCTTTTATTTTTGCTGACATGTCCATGTTCTATTGGGTGATGACCTTTTACAGATGCTCTGTTTTTTTCCTCAATTTCCTCGTAATTTAATTACCAACTTTTAGTTTTAGGTAGTGGAATGGTCACAACATACAATTATCCATCTAATCCTACACAGAAGATTTGCACAGTTAGTATTATAATTAACTATTAATTGTTTCTAGTTAAGAAAAAAGAAAACCAAAGAAAAAACTATGATAACAGAGACTTGGGAGTTGGGATCCGCTACGAGATCATGTACACGAAATTTTAAATGCACGAAGCGAGAAAGAAAAAGCATGGATGTTTGTTCCTCTAAATCTGGGCCTGCGCCTGCCTATCCAGTAAAGCCCAGATTTAGATGACTAGTTGTTGATTGCAATTGGCCACAAAATTGGACTCGACCAGAGGAATATCTAGAAAGCCGCAGAATTCAATTATCACTCCGGTCTCCGGCCGGGCCCGATCCCAATTCAAACTCTACGTTGCGACAGATTGTTGTTAGTTGTTTTTACACTACTTACACACGTACGGAGGAGCCGACCAGGCAAGAACTAACACAACTCATGAATAATGAGCGGCTACGTACCGCCTACCGACGATATGGTCTCCATGCCATGATCGTGATATGAAGCCTTTAATTTGTAGCTTTGATCAGATGGACGGCGGTACGCTTTCATCTGCTCTCTCTCTCTCTCTCTCTCATAACTCATTGAGTCAACTACCAGCACGTCTCTGTCTGGTCTCATATTCTTAGAAGAATGCAATAACGCCATTCAGTCACGAATATTCTAATATTGAAATTATTAATTCGGCGCAAATAATCCTAAATATCAGTTCCATTAGATCACAATATCGATTAAGAGGTAGAATCTTTTTTTTTTTTTGGATATCAATGTGGGCCATGTGGCTTGGCTTTGATATTGGGCTTAGCCCACCATATAGGCATATACCCTACTCAACCCCGCTTATCACATTCTTACTCAGTTGAAATCCATCCACTTCTCGGACAAGTTCAATTTGATCGACCGACCTAATTCCCCCGCTTCCTTGAAGGAGCGTAACTCAAAGTTATAATTAAGAGTAGAGGCGAGATGCGGATCAACTGAGAGAGAGTCGAGCCCATGGGCTTAATTAGGTTGTGTTTGGTACTACGTCACTTTTATTTTTAAGGATAAATTTTTTAAATTATCTCTATTATTTAGCTAATTGATTAATTCGAAAAAATGAAATATTGAATTTTCTCTTTACCATTCTTCAAATTTTCAAAATAATACGAAAGAACAATAAATCAGATGGAATGGTAGGGCCCCTTCTCGAAACGATGAATGATTTGCCGATTGTTGGGTTAATCATGAACAACTTGGAAGCCCCTTCATCTCTGATCAAGAAGAAGATTAAACCAAAGACGGAGAGAAAATGTTCCTTCCTTGCAATTTGCTTGGTTCTTGCCATTTCCTACAGAAACAGAGAAAGAAAGTTGTGAAGGAATTATGGACTCTGTGATGCAGATGGTCCTATAAGGGTATCATTATATAGGGACTGAGCGAGGTGGAGGCCGATGGAGCTACATGCGTTGCTAGAGTTATTCTTAGCGGAGAATTGCAGGGGTTTTAGGGGTGAGGGATGAGAAGAAGATGAATCTCTTTGGAGAGGGATTCCGCCTGAAGGATTAACTTTGGGTTTTGTTCAATCGGTACTGGACAAGGATGGGTTCCCAAAACCTAAAAGCAATTAGCAACTAAAGCAGCCAGGAAGTCAGCTCTAGCGACTGGTTGAGTGAAGAAGACCCAAGTTTCAGACCCGAGGCGGTGGCTCTGAGAGAAATCAGGGCGATTGGTGGAGTGAAGAAGACCCAAGGTTCAGACCTGAGGCGGTGGCTCTGAGAGAAATCAGGAAGTATTAGAAGAGTGGAGACGGCACCACCTCCTTTCCACCATTTTTCCGATGCAAATTGTCGATTACGTTTGAGTGGGGAGAACCGATTGGAGAAGGCACCACCTCCTCCACCAAATAATGTTGTTCACTAGAAATTCCCGAACAAAGTTGTACCGAACAAAATTATCTCTGGATGTAACTTGTCGATTACGTCCAAGATTCACCAAAAATTCCCGGCTGACATTGCCATCGACGCAAACCACCTCTCAGTTCGAAGAGCCAACTATTTCAGCTCGAGATGCTCAAGAGATCAAAGCTCAACCATGATTACCTTGTTCTTCATCAATTGAGGTCGGCAATCTCCTCTTTTGCAAGGACGGAGGTAGAGAGAAAAAACAGAAGAAAAAAAAAATCTTTTATACACCTGACACCTTGCGGCAGATGATGGTTCAAACTGATCAGCTTCCATTGTTGAATATTCGTGAAGGTTTGCTCTTTAGATGGAATAAGCCTTGAACCAGTAGATCTGCTTCCGATGGTCCGTAGGACTGAACCCATTTTCATATGACAAATACAAACACCCCCCCACCTCCAACTGGTGGTGAAAGGAAGGGTATTATTGCCATTTTTCAAAATATAATAGTCACGTGGTTTGGCATATGAGTGGATTATGACGGAATCCTAAGTAACGAGTAATTAGTCAGTTATTAGAAACAGCAGGGTGCTTTTGAGAGGATATATAAATAATAAGGATAAAGTTAGTCAATTAGCTAAAAAGTAACGATGTTTAAGTTAATCATATCAATAATTAATTGTACTAAAAAAATATAGGTATTAGATTGGGTTTGGTATAGTATAAACACCAAATTTGATGTTTACATCAATGAAACCAAATGTTGTATTGATAACTTTGTGGTAGAAATCTCTTAAATTCCTACTATTTGCTAAATTGACTAATTATATTCTTACTGTTTACAGTATCCTTATTTTACTGTTAAGTGCTAACAGAAACAAATGAACCCTCCACTATTCCTTAAATTTCAAAATAAAAAATTCAACCAAAGAGTTCCGGCTGCGAAACACACAACTCGTCCCCGAACAAAGCCTACCAGACAAACTTTCTTCCTCTCTCTCTCACAGGGGTTTGGTGCCAAAATCGCCGCCACCACTATAACTAGCAGGGGCGATATTTTTCTTCCTCCTCACCTTCACCCCTCTGTGTTTGGATCTTTCAAAATCACTGCCGCTGCTGCAACTTATACACTTATTACAACAACGGCGGTAATACACTGAGTGGAAGTTCGAGATCTGTAGGTAGTTGCTCTATCACCTTCTCATAGGGGCTTTGACACATCTGTGCTTGGGGAGAGAGAACAGTTGGAGCTAGACCCGTAACATCTCCGCAATAGCAGCAGAGCTACTTCTTATCACCAAAGCATTGAATTGATTAGTTCAGGCATAATATCTGGCCGATCAGTATTATCAGCCTTCTTCTTCCTGATAAATTCAATCAAAACCCAAAACAAAATTAAAGAGCATAGCACAGCCGCAACATCAATCACACTATCCT